TTTTTTTTTTTTTTTTTTTTTTTCAATTGATAATTAAGCTATACGTACGAATGTTTCCTGTCAATATTTATGTTTGTAGGATATACTAGTAACGCATCCTTTTACAAGAATTTCAAACTGGTCGTCAGGTAATACCTATTTCCACATGACGATTGGAAATTTAGTCCGTGGTTCGAAACTGTTGTGCGAAACTTCACTCGGATACAAAATGGACGATCTATTAACATCGTATATTTCGTTAATGCTCACGAACATGAATAAACAACGTACAATACGGATAAAATAAATGCGATGCTGCTAGATTCGATTCGCAGGATTGAACATCCGCAAGATAGGATAGTCAGAAAAGTGAAGTATATAAAAAAAAAAAAAACGCCAGATAATTCAGTGATTAAAATTCCAGACGATCGATACTGATTTTATCTACATATGTTATTTATCAAGCTCAGTTTCATATATCTATAGAAGATTTATTTAAATAGCAATCGTTCTCGATATAACAATGATTTCTATAACTATTGACACTCGCGAAAAATACAATTTTTTTTTACACAAAGAGTATTGATAAGCACAATAGCAAATTTCATTATAGTAACAAATGTTTCATACATGTTTTTTCTTTATACATTTTTTATTACGTATACATATCTAATATATATATATATATATATGTATATGTATATACATATGGATGTGTATGTATATATGTATATGTGTGTGTGTCTATATTATATATACACACACACACACACACATATATATATAAGCTTTGATATTCATTGTCGTTTAATTATTGCAACGACTGAAAGCATAAAAGAAATCATAGTGCACGTGTACACAAGTAATTAGTTTAAGAAAATGTATATGACTTATTTACAAATAAGATTTTCATACAACTTTGTAAAATATTACATTAACTTGTAAGGGAGAGTGAGAGATTGTAAGTGAGCGAATGAAAGGAAGAAACGTTTCAAAACATACATGATGGAACGGGACTGAAAACAATTCCGTATCTGCAAAAAGTGTATGGATAAAATGAAGAACTTACGCTTGAACGTAACTTAAAATAGTTTTCCAATGTAATGAATCGTAAATGATTACTCAATTGATTATCCGTCCACTGATACGCGTAAGGATGTAATTATTATTAACTCGCAGTTTATTACTGTGAATAAAGATAATCGTATTCTTCAGGTACTTCAGGTGCAAATTTTAATCGTGGGTAAATTCCCATGGTATACATGTACCGACATTCCTGTTTTACAATGGATCTCTTCAGGAAGACAATTCCCAAAGCGATTTTATCTCGCTTCCTGCTGCAGATAATTATATTCGATGGTATCTAGAAAAAAAAAAGCCCGCACCGATTCGACCAAGTAGAGGAGTCAAGAAACGAATTTTTTTTCAGCTAATAATTTTCAGATTTCATCTGTTAACGAAGATTTCGTCGCTTCGATCGAAACATGTTATCACATGTTTCACGTACAAACAACGTATCCCATTGTTCACGTTTCCAACAATTACAATGAAATGCAAAAAGTCGCATCGACTCTACTTTTTCAAAATACCTCGGCCGAGTAGTGCAACGATTATATAACGCACCGGTCCTCTCTATCGCCGATTCTTGGGATTTGGAAATAACGTGTAGGTAATGGAGTAAAGACTTTATTATATAAATCTTTCCAATTTATTGTAAAACATAGAGAGACATAAAAACGTATATATTTAGACTTTCCTTTCGTGTTATTCGTTTAAAATGCACCGACACATGTCGTATTTTCACGCATATTGTC